AGAACAAATAGCTCTTCAAAGAAATTTCATAGATAATATGTATCCTAGCTTTCCCACCGGTCAGCAGGTAACTCCACAGTTTCCTGATAATATGACATACAGTGAACTTCCTGGAAAAGTTGAAACAATTCTCAATGCTGATTTTAATATTAATGAGTACAATACGGCCTCGATGGATTGAATTTTAGTTTCATCAAAAAGCTTCCCCTAGATTACCATCAGTGCTTGCTTAACATCTTCAACTACATCTTTCAATCTCATAAATTTCCCTCATCCTGGAATGACTTCTTAATATTCCTGCTGCCCAAACAGGAAAAAGGAAAATATCGACCAATCTGCTTAGCTTCCTGTTTCTTAAAATTGATGGAGCGACTTGTAATCAATAGGATAGGCTGGTGGCTAGAACACTGCCTGCTTTTACCACAATCTCAATATGGGTTTCGGAGGAAAAGATCCACTGCAGATAATTTAGCTATTCTGTCAACAATTATCTACTCAGGCTTTGCAAATAAAGAGTATGTCTTGGCTACTTTCTTGGACATCAAATCGGCATTTGACAATGTTGATCCTATCATTTTAATCAAAATTCTAGCCTCTCTGGGTTGCCCTGAAAAGTATTGTTATTTCTTTTATAACTTGCTGGCCTTCAGAAGACTCTTCTTCGTGGTTGGGGGCAAGTTAACAGAACCACGCATCGTTAACAAAGGTTCCGGGCAAGGTTTGGTTTCCAGTCCAACCTTGTACGATGTATATGTAGCACAAATTGAAAGGTTGATACATCCTGAGTGTACTATTCTACAATTTGCCGACGACATTTGTCTAGTCTGTAGGAACACAGACTATAATACAGCACTAAACTGTCTACAAGCCTCTGTCGATAAAATAAGTACATTCTTAACAGAAGCAAAGATGTCTCTATCTGCACATAAATCTAGATTTGTTATATTTACAAAATTGAGAATGCCTGTTCAGACTGATCCTATTATAATTGATGGTGATTTAGTGTCATCATCAGACACTGTAACATTCTTGGGGATAACCCTGGATAATAAAATGAAATTTAATGCTCACACAATAAATCTCTTTGGAAAATGCTCCAAGCTTTTATCAATTATAAGAGTTTTGAGAACAACCTGGTGGGGTGCTCATCCTAGTACACTTCTCACCATTTATAAAAGATTAATCCGAAGTGTTATTGAATATGGGTCTCATATTTATTCTCCTAAAGACCAATCTCTTTGGATTAAGTTAGACAGAGTTCAGTACAAAGCTATTCGCCTTTCAATTGGACTTAGACAATCTACGCCAACTAATGCAGTCTTGGCAGAAGCTGGTGAAATGCCTTTAAAGCATCGTTTCAACCTATTAACTACTAGATATCTTCTTAAAACACTCTCCTCTAGTTCCCACCCTCTCCCAGTTCTTTTGGAGCAGCTGGAGGCCACTCTTACAGCTGGAACAGACCCTGATACTGATCTTCATGGAATTAAATCATTTTTTCCTCTGTACTCAGAATTCATAAGGTGCAGGCAATGGAAGGGTAAAATTTATGCATCAGAATCTCCTACTCCATTTGAGTTTGAATACGATATTGTTAGATTTATACCAGATACTAACGTTTCATTTGGACAGGCACTTAAAAAGTCCTCTTCACCTTCAAATGCCTTTTCCCTCGAAAGTAGAAAAATCTTTTCTAATTCTGTTGCTTTCTATACTGATGGTTCCAAGCATGAGAAAGAAAACAGAGCTGGTTTCGCTTACACTTGCCCAGATTTGGACATGCATGAGGTTCATAGGACCCATGGGGAAGCTTCCATATTCTCTCTAGAGCTATATGCTATACTCTTTTGCTTGGAAAAAATAAAGCAACTCAGACTGACTAGTACAATAATTTACTCGGACTTGCTAAGTTCAATCATCGCCATATCTAACTCAAGTAAATTGTTCTCTAATCCGATTATATACCTGATTAAACGGCTGATTTTGACTCTTTCTAAAATGAACTGTCGGGTAACTCTAACATGGATACCAGCTCAGGTGGGTATTCCAGGTAATGAAGAGGCAGATGACCTGGCTAATCTAGGTACAAAATTGTCTACCTTAACCAACCTATTCATTCCATACACTGATATATTTAGAATAAGCGACCAGCAACATGAAGATGCTGCCAACATCTTTCTTAGAAATCAAGGCCTGTTGAAAGGTAAACAATATTTTGACAATTGTTTCAATGGCTTATCAAACCCTTGGTTTGACAGCCTAAATCTTGATAGATACATCATTGCTACATTGTCTAGACTCCGTGCTAATCACTTTGGTTTGAAGGACAGTCTCCACAGGAAGAATATTGTCGCCTCGCCTCTCTGTTCATGTGGTCTGGGAAGGGAGGATGTTGAGCACGTCCTCTGGTACTGTCCTCTTTACTCCTCCCACAGAAAAGTCCTAGTTAATACACTGAATAAACTAAACATCAAATCCCCATGCAATATCACATCCCTCATTGCTAAACCCTCACAGAAGATAGCTTATATCCTAACCAATTTCTTTAGGAAAACAGATCTGCAAATTTAAAATGCCTAGCCCAAAGGAATAAACAATAAACATTTGACTTAAAATCTTTCTTTTAAAAAAAACCGCGCCTTAATAAAAAGGCAAAGGCCGTAAAGCGCCACCTAGGTGCTGGTGCCGTACAAATACATAGAATAGAATAGAACTCACATTACAAGAATTCTAAGCCAGTTTATTTTCAAGCACAAATTTTTAAATAGAAAAGGTCCAGCACTGTTTGCAAGATACATAAAAGCTATAAAACCAGTTTGATATTCTTGTAACAGCTCAGAGGTAACACGCTCGACTACGGAAACGTAGGTTTTGTGGTCAAGCCTATCAATGTTATTTTTTTTTATTTAATTAATTGTAATAATGAATTATTTTAGGACAAATTTCATACGCAATCACACTAAAGGAGTGTGTAATATTTTTTTTAAAGAATATTGGGACCGCTCGAGAGGCCTGGAACTTGGTACCTGAAGAGAGTTTTTTAAAAAATTTTCTTGGGCAATAAAACCCCTATTGTCCCAGCAGCCTTAATCTCACAAACAGTAGGGACTTTTCGAAGTCCTATCTATCACAGTAGATAGAAATGAGACAAATAACAAAATAATCTTTCCTCTGAGTTCCGTAGAGCAAGCCCACCCCACTTAAGACTTTAAATATGATTTTATCTTCTTCTGAAATAAATGGGTCGGTAGCTTAGGGGTTAAATCTCTGTTCGAGAATCTTTTGGTGACTGGTTCGAATCTCAGCAGTTATAATTAATTAATTAAATAATATTCATTTTATTATTTTGTTTTGTAACAATACTAGTGCCCTTTTTTTTATCTGGGTAATGGATAAAAATGCAAATTTTTTTTATCATTTTCTAAGTAATTTTAATAACAACAATGGAAAACTCATAAATATATGACCGAAAGACATGGCGAAATATCTACATAATGCTTGTAAGTAATACCAGAATTTAAAAATATAGTATATATATTTATAAGTTGTTCATTGTTGTTATTAAAATTAAATAAAAAATAATAAGAAAAATTTGGGATTTTCATCCATTTCCCAGAAAAGAAAAAGGGTACTAGTATTGTTACAAAAAAAAAAATGTAATAAATTTTATTTAATTAATAAATAAAAAAAAAGCAACTGGCAAGATTCAAACCAGTCACTAAAAGATTCGTAGACAGAGAATTTACCCCTGAGCTATCATCCTATTTACTAGAATAAAACGTAAAGTAATATTTAAAGTCTTAAGTGGGGTGGGCTTGTTCTACGGAACTCAGAGGAAAGATTATTTTGTTATTTGTCTCATTTCTATCTACTGTGATAGATAGGACTTCGAAAAGTCCGTATTGTTTGTGGGTTTAAGGCTGTTGGGACAATAGCGGTTTTATTGCCCGAGAAAAATTTTTAAAAAACTAAATTTTTTCGCTCCCTACTACCCGAGAACGAAACTAAGCTCCGCCTTTCACTTCAGCTCGGCGAGATGCCGGGTTGGCGTGCCATCTTGCGGTCATTTTTATAAATGTTCACTACATTTCTTAGCTCCCATAAGGACTGAACTTCTATACTGGTCTCTCTTCTCTGACGTAACTCTTGCACTATTATCACAAATTTAGTAAACAAACACCACAACTTAAAATACTTGTACGTTTTTTGCACCAACTGACCCACTTGATCATTCGTCGAAGAAGTTTAAGAAAATAGTAAAATTGAATACGCATGGACCTCAAATGTAAGTATCTAAAGAGTGCATACTTTTAAATAGAAGGAGAATGATTTTTTTGTTAGTTATGGGAGTTGAGGTTAATTTTATTGCTGTATGGAATTTTTCCGAATATAAACAAGACTACGCTCACATGTTCATTTATAGTTATCCGAATAGTAGGCATATGTCGTTGCAAAATTTTGAACCTGAGGCTGGTATTTATTTAACTAGGTATTGTCCATTTTTTCATAATGCGTGAACGAAAATCTTTTTCATTCATTTGTAAGGGTACAAGTTTTTTTTTGTTGGGGAAATTTGATTAAACGTGCTTAGTAAAATTTACCCAGATGGTTTTATAATGATTCATACGCGTAGTTTGTAAACTTTCTTAGACTGGAGGTATATTACGCGTTTAACACAAAGTTAAGGGTAATTTTTCACGAAAAATTTTCTCAGTGTAGTGCTTTCTAACAATTGTAAAACAAATAAAACTTTGTTGAAAAAGTCAATGTGATTGATATTATTCATCAGGAATTCATGTTATTAAATAAAAAATATATCATTAAACATAAATATAACATATTCAAACTCTCGAATTAATTGCTGATTGAAATGTTTATCGCTATCAACTTGGATCTAGGGATTTTAGATAAATGGAAATTACAACTAAAAGGGTAAGTAATCTTGTACATAAAATTTTTTTTTTAAATATAATTTATTAATTACTTTAATTTAATAATAATTAAAATATGATATTTGGTCGATATTAATAGCAGTCTAAATGGTTGCTAAAAAGCAATGGATTATATAATATTTTCATAAACTTAATCTTCGTAATTTTTTTCAATCATAGAATAATATTCATTTTATTAATGATTGTAATTGATTACATATTTTGTGTATACGTTAAGTATACAAATTGATGCCGTTACTATACTTGGCGTATACTTTTTGTTACATAATTGTATTTTTTTTACTGATGATTCAATTGATCTATTTACATAATATTAAAAATATGTAATGATTTATGAATACACTTACTGTATATTTATATGTAGGCAAGAGATCTATCGAACCGGCCGAAGAAATTGGCCTCAAAAAACATAAAAGTCATTATATGAATTTATGTACTTGATGAATTACACTTTTTCAATGATCATTTATACAATTATTTAAAGTTTTAAATAAATTATTTGTTCACTTTATTTTCAATACTTATTTACATTAAAAAATTTAATTTTTTTTGTGTTTAACTTTCTCATTAATGGTGCCCCCAATTTTTAAACGACTTACATGTTTGTATTTTTAGGTCAATTACGATTCATCAGTCTGTACTCTTATACATGTGTATTTAAAACTTTCTTTAATTATTTAAAAAGCTCTTGATAGTATTTTTTATATTTTCACTTTTTTGTAAATATTTTAAAACAAGTTCTATCTATATGTTTTGATAGAAAAAATACATTAAGTAGTATATGTAGTGTACATCTTCCATTAATAGATGAAGTATTTGTGGAATTTTGCAGACATTATTAAAACAGTTTGTTACAAATATTGAATCTTATATTTAATTAGATTAAGCATATTGAATATCTTTGATTGTTTTTTAAATCTCTTTTTTAAGAGAAAATAAATTTTGAATTCATATCTTTGATACTTATTAAATAAATCAATCGTCTAGAATTGTTATCGAATTTATAAATTTTCACAGAGATAAGCCTTAAAAAATTGACTGGCTAATTGATACACAGTTATCTATTTTCACGTGGATATAAACTTTTGTAATTGACAAAAGGGATTTTTCCAATTATAAGTGGCTCAATTTGGCACAGAACAGTAGGCCCATGAGGAGAGAAAACTTTTCTACTTCATAAAAATAGTTTTCTTCATCTTCGAAAAAAAAGAATAAATAAAGTATTGTTGTATATCTGAAATGAACATTTCACCTTAAACCTATCTGATGATACAACAATGCTTATCTATCTTCTTCAGAACATGAAGATTGTAATATTGAAAGTTCTCCAATGAATGAAGTAGAAGTCAGTCTAGCCTTCATCTCAACTTCTAAGCGTACGATTGATCAAGACTAAGAGCTATTTTGTTCCCTTTTTCTACCCAATTACGAAGTCTTCCTCGCAGTTCTTCCAAGCTTTTAGATTTGGCCTTGTTTATTCGTTTATACTTCACATCTTTCGGTTTCGTAACTGATCTATGATTACTCATAACTCTATTATATGTCACCTGAAATAAAAAAAATTAAAATTAGAATAGATCAATTACAAAGATTACCATAATTAAAAAAAAGTAATTGAAAGTAGAAAAAATCATTAATGACAATAATTGTCTCAGAAAGTGCAATAAAGAATTTTTTTAAGTTCGAGTAAAAGTTCTTACTTGAGCTTGTTGACCGGTTTCATCACGAGGCCTTTCACTAGGCGGAGAATCTTCTTGGGTAAGCCTTTCAAAACTGCCATAGATATCATGTAGTTTTCCCTTGCTCGATTTAAGCATTTTTGTTTTTTTCTCTTGACTTTCCGAATTTATTTCCGTTGATTCAGACAGCTCTTGGTTCTCACTATCCTCCTCGACCGAATAAACTGTCTCCAATATTTCAGGACGTCTCAAATACCCATTCGTTCTTCTCATAGAGGAATATTTATTTGAAGGTTCTACGGCGTCAGACACCGAGCGGATCACAGTCACGTCAGTTATATTGGATCGAAATCTAAAAATAGAATATTAAGGGAAAATAAACTTCATGTTTGAAGCTTGCACAAAAATAAAAGTGTTGGTAAAAGCAAAATAATTCTCATTTAAATACCTTGGAGGAGCTGGGTCATCAGAAGTCTCTTCGAGAACAACAGCACTGTCGCTATCGCCAAGACTGTCAAGCCTATCTAAAGCATCACAGGGTGGTGAATCTCTTGTCCCTGAGCTTCTCTCTGCTAGGCGGCACTGAAGCTGTCTTATCACCCTCTGCTGCCTCAGGATAATAGCTTCTCTTTGAGCAAGGCTTGCTTCAATTTCTTTTTGCTTTCTGCACAATCTAGACTCAAAAAGAAGAAGCTGAGATGATAAACTACGCAGTTGTTCAGCTTTTTCTCTTGTCAGTCTTGTAACCATGTCTTCCTGCAATTAAATAAGAAAGATTACTTTTAGAAGCATGTTCATAAACAGCAGTTCATATCAAAGTGTAAAATTAATTTTTGGCTTCATTGAAGTGAATTTTTTCATTTCATTCGAATAAAATAAACTGGGATTTTTTTTATTTTAAGTATTGTTACTGAATAAAAAGTGATAAAAATTAAAACTAATTTTATCATTGATAGCACTGATAGAATTGAAATATAAATATCTTACGTAATAATCTTTTCGGTACTCTATAAATTATGATGCCGAAAATTTTCATAATATTCAAAAATATGAATAGCAAGAAAAAGAAAGGTATAAGACTGATAACCAAATTTATAAGAACAAAAGTAAATGGTTAAATTGATGATAATAAGACTATTCTCTTAGGAACAACGATCTTTGAATACTTGAATTTAATTTTTAATTCATTTATCTTTTATATTAGATTATGAATTAATAGTGTTACTGTAGTTCAATTTCTTGTTAGCTAACGAACATAGATGAATAATTAATTCAATCTTAATAGTTTTAATTATCGAATTATAATTTTGTTTTGTTTGTTAGGTTTTCCTTAGCTACCCTTGGCAAAAATTTTTATAGAATCCACTTTATCTACTCTACCGACTTGGCTATAAGTAGACAGATGTTTGTTAGTTCAAGTTTTTTTTTAATTTTCTACATTTTACGCTTTGAAAATGTTTCTTATGGTAATTCATTATTTCATCAATAATTTGCTGATGAAGAGATTAATATTTGGAATTCCATTAGCTTTTTTTTAGACTTATAATGGATAAGGTATTATCTATATTATTATCTGTCTATTCTATTGATTTCAATGTAACTTTTTGTTAAGAAACATAGCAACTCAATATTTTTTTATTTCACAGTTTTATATTAATTTGTATAAATCTGACATTGATTGAAATTAAATCAAATAAAATTTTAGATAAAAATTTTAATGAGAATTTTTTCAATGATTTTTACATATATTTATTCTTTTAGAAAAATATTGAAGAATGATTACAAAAGTCAAATTAAAATGGAAATGATCATTAAAAAATTAATTAAAAATATTACTCATTCCTACATGAGTGAATGCAATAAATTATTTATTCATGATAAATTCTTTGCGTTCAATAATGGAACAATTGTGATGGCTGAGTTCATTGCTAACTTGCTATCAAATTAACAAGTGATGATGATCTATTTCGATTTATCGATTATCTACAAAGACATTAAACGGCTATACTTTTTGCGACCACTTTACATGATTAATAATAAAATAAATTACTTATTCTACTACTAAACCGCTTTTCCTTTGATGATTGAAAGCTTTACTAAGCTCTTTGTAACTCCTTTAACTGAGTATTTGCCTTTTCTCTACCTCCATAAATTAACTTCTATTAATTGGCGGTTTCAAAAACATAGTTCTGAAGATCATTTAGAAATAATTGACATGATTTAATATTATTCATATTTCATATTAGTTGATAGTACATTTCAAATGCTTCTATTAAATCATTAATTTCTCCTACGTTAATTCTTTCATGTCGAGTCTATAATAATAATAATAACGACGTCTGCATAAGAAGCAATCGCAAAAAATTCTTGAGTGCATAAAGACACGTAAATAATTGTGAAACCACAAGTTTTTATGTAATTGTTTTAAAATAAAATAGAAAAGAGAATTAAGTCTTCTCTTCTCTTGAATAAAGTTCTGATGAAAAAATGTTCGATTCACTTCAAGCGTATTTAAAAAAAAAAAAATACTTTCACGCAAAATATTTTATTCAAAGTCAGGATTTTTATCCTGAGGATAATACTTTATCATATTTGGACAATTTATCTTTCATTTTATTCAGAAATATTATTTATGTCCTTAACTAAAAACTTATTAAAAATATTATAGTTTAATTAAACTTTGTCAATTTAATATTTTTAATCAACCAAAGTAAATGATTTAAATTAATTAAGAATGTTAGTCAATATATTATAATTTAATTATCAAACATTGTTAATAATAAAAATAATAAAAATAATGGATACTAATATTGAATATAATTTATTCTTATAACAATTTCCATGAGTATAGGAATATTGATATCCTTTATTTGTCAATTAATCTATGAATATACTGAACGAATAGATTAATAATAATTATTTATTTTTAATATACTTGACTAATTCTGAACTATTCACACAATCTTATCTGTTGCTCATTGAATAATTTAGTTTCTCGTTCGTCTAGTTTTATAACCAATCAACTCATATCCTCTTGACATTAATATTAAACAACTCTATCAGGAGCAACGATACCTAAAGAGCCTGATCAGTCGATTGTAAAATTTATTTCTGTCTATTCATGCAAATTTTATACATTCTTATAGTCTCCGTCATGGTTTCTCTTATGTCCATTTTACGTATTTCAATCTTACTTAATTGTATTCAATCTTTCATGATACTGTGATGAATCATTCTACTTCCCAATTTGAACAGTAGCTTTTTTGAATCCTTTTAGTAGTATATTCTTGTCTATACATTTAATTTACTGTAGCTTGGATAGCTTATTTTTTCTACACTCTCATCAATTCTTTTCTTTCTGAACCTTCGAAAAGTACTCTACTTGAAGTTCTAGGTTGATAAGAAATAGAATCAGACATAGGATGTGATTACCTGTAGCTTTAAAGTTCTTCGCCAAGCTAGCATCTGGTGCGCCTGCGCCCTTTGCTTTGCTTTTAAAGCTGCGATTACGCTTTTTGCCTCCTCCAATGATGTTATTTCCATTTCCGTGTTTGTCTCGAGTCCTTTTTCAGGCATTTTATTGTGCCCTTCTGACAGTATTGTCAGTGGTGCATTTTCCATTGATGTTTCGTCCAAACTGAAATCAAAAGAAATTTTTTTTATTCATTAATTAAATATTATTCATTAAGATAAATTATTAACAAACAACAAGAATATTTATTCTATTTATTATATTCATGTCAGGTAGACAAAATAATTTTATTTTTTATTATTAATTAATTTCTTACAAATACAGCTTTTATTGTTTGCTGGCTAGAAATTAGGAGATTTTAATAAACCAAACTAAATCGGGATTTACAGCTCGTCTGTTTTAAAACTTTTTATTCCTATAGAAGCTGATTTCAGTTTTACAATGGTTTAGTAAGTATGCATTGTAAAACAAAGTATATATAAATATTAATATATATTGTTATTAACTTTAAATTATTCTATATTTATGTATTTTTCATTGAGAACCGTGTAGGAAGAGATTCATTAAAAGTGAAAAATATTGCAAGTAGATTTACATTAAAATTTTTATAGTTTTTCTCTGTTCTATTTGATTATTAAAATCATTTTTTTTTGTTCATTTAAATGCTAATTTTTTTAAAAATAAATATTAAGTTTTGAATTTATTAACTTGCCGGTGGGAAGTTATAGTAATAGATCCGATTTTGCGAATATCCACGTTTCAAGGTCCCCAGAGTCGAATACAATAGTTTTTGAGTAGACAACTGTGTGTGTATGTACGTTCGAAATTATTTTTCGTCTTGATTACCTCGAGAACAAAAATGATATCGACTTGGGACCAATTACATTCGACGCAAAATGACGCAACTTAGAACTGATTAGAATTTCAATAAAATTTGTCCAGCCATTTTTTGACAAAATCAAAAAACTGAAGAGAAGCTAAATCTTATCATTCTTTCCACTGAGAAGTTAGCAGTGTGGACCTTCCAGATCGCACTCAGACCATTAGAGAGCACTGATAGTTTTAAATTTAAATAAAATGAATCATTTCTCCGAAAGCATTGATATTGATAGGTAAAATTTATTAATATTGAGGCGATAATATGAACCTATTCAGGTACTATCAAGTTAAATAAAGACTATCAAACGATTGCATGTGCCATAAATACTTTCAAGTGATTTTATCAGACGGTAATGTTCCACGTACTCAGATATCTTTGGCCAAGGAATCGAGTGTAAGTTGTAAGGATTCTCCACAACTTTGGCAGCTGTAGCCATAACTTTTAACTCGGTGTGAGAATGCTAGAGTAAGTATCAAGTATCTTACAATTAAAATCATCCTAGACAAAAATACTATTGTCAGTGTCACTAATTCTTTACATTATTACCTCCAACATTTACAAAATTTAGTATATGCATTCTCACAAACTGTATATATTTTACATTGCCATATTTATTTTTTACGACAGTTTTTTTTTTTTATTTCACGGCACTAAAGGTTATGAATTCCTTAAGGAAATTCATTTCTACAAACACATAAGTTGAATCTCGATGACATTTTTAGTTGAATAAAAAATGTATCATAAAATATAATGGAATAATAAACAGCATTTTTATTCTATATTTCATGCGACTTTAGTTTGTAACTTTACAACTTTACAAAATATATACCAAATATGTCGCCTATTATTCGCTCATATTGGATATCATCAGTATGAATATACATATGCTGATAGTAACACATCTAATATGTTGATGACTGATGCATGCCTCGTGAGTTTTTGGTGCCACCCTTCCTGCTTTATAGAAGCATGCAAGTTATGCTGATCGGAATTGTGTTCAGGTGGTAGTCAAATTCAGAGGGCTATATAATTTCCCAATCCCCAAATAGTTATCAACTTGAAGTACAAACTGATTATTACATACCAATATTATTTTACAATTATTATTACCATCATCATTGTTATAATTATTCAAATTTGATTGTGCTTACTAGTCTTACTAATTTAATCGACGTTCAGTAAATATTTGTTTTCTATTCGAAATATAACCAGCTTTTTGCCATTTAGCAGGAAGTTTGTACAGAAAAAAATTGCTCATTTCTGGAACTTCATGAGGGTGTGTAAGCATTCAAACCCTACCTCTAATATTATTCGGACCAGTAATTAGAATAAAGGTGAATTGATTACATCCCACTCCCTTTAATGAAAGAATTCTTTTATATTTGCAGAGCGTAGAAATAACTCTTGTTCAACATTCAGAAAACATACAATTTTGACACAAAAAAATTACAGTAAATGTATATATACTTATTATTATTAGTTGACGTATGTTTTTTTTATCCTTGTAAAATATACCAACTGACAGATGGAAGTGAAAATTTAGAGCGAAATTTTTTTAATATAGCGCCAAAATAAATATTTTTGATTGAAATTTTCAAAATAGAACATATCAGAATATTTTAATAATAGATGATGCATTAAACAAACTAATGAATATTTCATTATTATTCATATAATGAATATAAATATTGTATTGTGACAAAAGAGAACGAAAATAATATGTCAGTTTTTTCATTATGATAATACTTGTTAATGAGATTAATGAGAATATTTTTGAATGCAAAATATATTAATAAATTACTTTTTAAATGCATGAATTAAAGTATGAATATCTTTCAATAATATAATATTTTAATTAATTATTTTAAATAAATTGAAACAATTAAAAGATATTTACAAACGAAGATAAGTCACTGTTCTTGATTTATTTATTGCTATTAAAAAATAATAACAATCCATTAAATCGAAAATGATAGTGAAAATTTTTCATCACTTTTAAAAGACTGGAATATTTAAAATACCAACAATATACACCACGAGTAATAGCAAATAAAGTCCATTTACAATGATTCAAGATAAAAAGCAATTTTTTCGTTTGAATATTACATTGTCGGCAGTTGATATCCGTTGATATTGTGGTCGGTGGACGTTTGCCATCTGGACATGGAGTTTTATTAAGAAAAATTGCCTACTTCCGGAACTATATATTCTCGTGCATGGGTATAGATGAAATGATTGTGATATAGTTGTTTCGAGTTATAATTAAAAAAGAAGGGATGAGTAATTACAACAGGCCTCGTTTACGCGATGTTATAATGATTACATGGGGTGTTAGAAAGAGAGCTAGAGCGTAAATACATCCTGACGTAATTTATCGCACGTGGCGACTGACCTCGTACATAGAACTTGTTGTTCATTGCTCCACGGAGAAAAAAAACTTATTTTATTTTTACTACTCAACAGCATAAAATTCTTGTAAGAATTTCATTGTGAAGAGATAATTAACACTCTCCAGTTATGGTGGAGCTTTTTTTCACTCAAGTTTATTTTGTTAATTTCTTTATGACTTTAGTGTTTAACATGAGTAATTAAACTATTTTTATAGCTGTAAAAAATTGAAGTATCCTAATATAAAAAATCTTTTCCGCAATTTGTGTACTTAGACGTCAATTATGGGTTATTTCTTTATAAATAATTGCTGCAATAATTGAAGTTTCGTTTTGAAAAGATCCTTATATTATTTATAGAATAAATATGAATGTGAAGAGCTTTTTCTTCATGTATTGTGAAATTTATAGAAGTGTTGTTATGTAGAGAATTAAAAATAATTGCATGTTGATAAAATTTTTTCCATTTTTATAAAGAATTATTTTGTACATGAATTCTGTATGTTTACTGAGAAATATTGAAAATCATTTGATTGACTTAATTATTTTATTTATTATTTCAATTGAAATGGTGTTTTCGTATGATGGAGAAAATAAAATATTTTTACTTCTGAGAACAGAGATGGGAAATTGTTTTATTGAGAAAAAAAATCAATAGCTTTGTTAATAGTAACAACTTTTCTTTGTTAATTGTTTTTTTTTAACTCAACAAAAAAATAAAAATATAAATTATTGAATTATCAATTGCCATTTTTTGCATGCAGACTAACACCATTTTTTATAATTTGTGTTGTATTGATACTCAATCTTTCTTAACACTTTTTTCCGCTTTATTATCTTACACCCTTGCTTTCCATCACGCTTCATTACTTTTAAGTAATTTTTAAGAATGGAACAAAAGAACATAAATAAAAATCAACAAATACATTAGGAAAAATTGATATTAATTTGAAACTATTTTATTTGATATTTATTCGATAGTAGAGAAGAAGATACGATTATGATTCAATCAGTAATATGGCCCTTTCGTTTATTTTGCGAGCATGCTAGATTCTTCATCAGGTAATCCTTAAATATATTGAAAAATAACTTCTTGGTAATAAACATAGAATTCAAAAAGTAATGATTGGTGATAGTTCATTGAATAAAATATGATTTAGTAAAAACAAAAAATAATTTATAATCCTATCTTTTACTCTAATAATAAGTTTCAATTTATTTCTATGAAAAATATCATTGTACAAACTTTTTTAATTTGATATTTTTCCAGTATATCTTTTATAATTAAAAAAATTCAAGATAATGAAAAGTACACCATAGAAGCTAAAATAATTCAAAATAACTTCTATTCAATTTCCTATTTTTTTTCTGTTTTTAATCAATAACTTCTTATTGAAAATCCATCACAACATAATTGTCTACAAGGTTCATTTAATTTAATAGTCAGTACATTCAATTCTATCTCTCGACAAGGCTTCGTTAAAAAAATAACCAAAGCAGTAAAAAAAGAGATGATGAATAAAAAAATCAATTTAAAAATTTCGAAGCTGAACGAAAAAGAAGATTACCAATTGCTTAAAAAAAAATAGAGATTATCGGCATCCCTGGTTGGATGAACGCTCATTACATTGACGAGAATATTCAAACAGTCTAAAAGCACTTTACGTTCACGTTAACTCGAGATTATGTTCACAAGGAAATGTAAGGACCCAAGACAGACATTATATAAATAGAATATCCATATATACATACTCATAGAGCATTGGAGTTGATATGTTTAATATATTTCGTATCCCAAACATGACCTTCTCTAACGTTCACATTCATTTTCTTATTAATTTTTAGTTGCAACTCCAACATGATGTTTACATAATCTCAGGTTATTTTTATGATAAACT